CTGATGGTGACTTTTTGTTCCTGCTAACTCTGCATGTAGCTCTTTGGTATTGAGTTTCTGTATTTACAACTTGAGGAAATTGAACTAGATGTCTGTAGTGGCCAATCCGTTTTCAAAATGGGTTTAATCTTCAAGTGATTCAAACATCCTGAGCAGCTTACCCTTTGGGCCTCTGTTATACATTGGTTAAGACAGTCATCTCCCCCACTCACTCCCCCTTGAAAGACAAAATTATCTGAAATCTGCTTTTCAGAATTTTAAGCTAAGACTCTCCCCCCTCCCCATCTGTTCCTCCAATTAAAACTTCTATGAATATGGCTATTCAAAGGGTTTTTCTTCCTAGGGTGTGTTCAGTATTGCTAAAAATGCATTTATTTACTCACTCAATCAGCATCATGAATCGAATACCTATAACGCTCATTTGTTACAAAGATACATAAAAAACAAACCCTCCTTCTTAGGGGGAGACAATGCATAGTTATCATGGCTTGTCAATCAAATACTCTGTAGGTCCAGTAGAAGCCTGTGAGGGATATTCTCAACCCTTTGGGCCAATAGTGGTTAGGGAAGGCTGCTCAGAGGAGGCCTCCTTTGCGTGACAAGGATGAATTGGGTGACAAGGAGAAGCAGGGCCATTCCTAAGCAGATGAAACAGCATAAACAAAATCATGGGCTCTAAATCTGCATCTATGCATAATAAATATGGATAGCATTTGGATTACAACTGGCAGCCTTTTTGAACAGTTTTAAATTGACATTAAATTTGACACAATCTCATCCTTTTTATTAATTTATGCCAAACTTGATTCATCTTATATGCTTATCTTTAGTATCAAAGATTATTTTTTGCTCCTCTTAAAATCAACTCTTTGATATAAGATTGAAAAATAAAGACATTTTAGGCTGAAAATTAGGACTGACAGTAGCCAATATTGGCACTATGGAGCAATACATTGCTAGTAGTTGTACAATAGTACAATTATTCTGGAAATAGATCTGGAAGTTTCTCATAAAGTTCAACATATACCTACATTCAATAAATGTAGGTATTCAATAAAGTTCAACATATACCTACTCTATGACCCAGAAATTCCACTTCTACATACTTACCGCCCCCCCCACACCCATAAGATTTTTTTTTTTTTTTACTTTTTTTTTTTAATATTTTTTTATTTTTCGCTTAAAGTATTACAAAGGGTATTACATAAGTGTCCTTTTTTTCCCCCCCGCCCTTGACACACCCCTACCCTCCCTTACCCCCCAGTGTCTTATGTCCATTA